AGCTGGATATGATAACATTAGAGCGATAGGAGAAGTTATTAATTTCAAAGGAGAATCATATAAATTTGGTGGATTCGAATCTAATCCAAATAGATTTACCGTAGTTATGATTATTTTAAACACAATAAATTTTAGTTGGAGAAACGGAAGTATTCTAAATGCGCCTTCAGCAAGATGTTGTTATGGTTCTGCTCTTCTGCCAAATCAAGTTATTACTTATTTTGGTAAGAGATAACATGAGTGATGCTAAGAGAAAACCCGTGAAGTATCTGATTTTACAGTATGTGATTATTTCGATAAAACCATTTACGTTCATAGCATTCATAACTGATATACAGTACTGTATGTCTATGGAATAATGTTATGAAAGTAATATGTCGACATTGTTTTCATTGCAGATTATAATACTAATTTTTTAGGACAATCAGGAAGATAAAAATTTGGGAATCAATTTACAGTTTTCTCTTAATATCATTCATATACAGGTTGATATATATACGCAGATGTATTTATACAAAATTACTTTATTTATTTAGGTGGTTATGATGGAACAATTTTAGGCCTAAATGAAGTAATATATTAAATCTTTTTTTGATAACTTCACATCTATTGTGTTATCTAAATATTGTTTATTCTCATAGGCTTATTTATATGACACAAATAATGATAGTTGGAATACAAGAGTAAGTTAGTCCAAAGACACATTACTCTAAAATTTATATTCACTTTAAAACAGCCCATTTCAGGTCAAATACCTTCAAATAGAAGTTCTTTTGCAAATGTTCTCGGTATGCATTAAATAACTGGTTTAAGATTGCTAATTTCCTTCATTATCTCATTCTGTAATTATCATTATTTTAAAAGGATTAGATAACAAACGAATAATAGTCTTTGGAGGCGTATCTGACATAGGATACACTGCTGCAGACGCGCTTTATGTATTAGATGTAGTAAACTTTCAATGGTATAGACCGAATGTTTCAGGCACAATTCCATCTTATCGAGGTTGGCACATGGCAAATTTAATTGGAAAATATATGGTTATATCTTTTGGTAAATATATCTTATTTTATGGCTATGTATTCAATTAATTCAGTTATTTGATAATGTTATGTATTTAAATAGGTTTAGGGTATAGTCAAACTAACGAAAGTGACATCCTATTACTCGATATTAGCAATAATAATGAATATGTGTGGACATATGATTTTGTTTCTACAACTTCAACAATTCCTACAACTTCAACAAATCCTGCAACTCCTACAATATCAATTACAATACCACAACCAAAAACTGATAGTATTTCAATTGTGATCAAAATTATCATAGGAATTTCAGTAGGAATTCTAATTTGTATATTACTGATAGTTGGAGGTTTCTTTTT